TGGGGACAAAGAGAGATTGGTAATATCAAGTTGCAGATCGCCATTGCAAACATTGTTATCTTGCGGTTCGATTGCGCCATGGAAAATCGTAGGCTCACGGAGGAGGAGAGATGGCTAAGAAGAACTTTGAAGCAACTGGTACTTGGGTTGGCATCTTTAGAGAGAACCATTGCGAGACAAAGGTCTAGACTATCTTGGCTTCAAGAAGGGGATGCTAACACTCGCTTGTTTCATTTGGTGGCGAATGGGAGGCGTATGAAGAACTACATACCTTCATTGAACATGGAAGGGCGCACTATCACGGATCAGAAAGGCAAGGAGGAAGCCTTTTATAATGCCTACAAGGATTTGTTGGGCAAGGACGTTGCTAGAGAGTACACACTCGATTTGGAGGGGCTTGGAGTCGCTCATGTAGATTTATCGGAGCAAGACCGGGTGTTTACTGAAGAGGAGGTGTGGGCAGTCATTAAGGATCTTCCCTCTGATAAAGCACCGGGTCCGGATGGGTTCATTGGCTTGTTCTTTCAAAAATCTTGGGAAGTGATCAAGGAGGATCTGATGGCCGCTATTCATAAGTTGTTTCTTGGAAATGGGAGGGGTTTTGGGAGGCTTAACCAAGCCCTCATCACTCTCTTGCCGAAGTCCCCGGATGCTTCTTCTGTCTTCGATTTCCGGCCGATTAGCCTTGTGCATAGCATGCCCAAGATTGCTTCCAAGCTTCTTACTTCGAGGCTTCGACCGCGCATGGGAGACCTTGTCCAGGTGAATCAGTCAGCTTTCATAAAAGGGAGATGCTTGCACGACAATTTTCTGCTCGTGAGACAAGTGGCGAGGATGATGCACAAAAGGAAAGCTAAAGGTGTTCTGCTCAAGCTTGACATTACTAAGGCCTTTGACTCCTTGTCATGGCCGTTCCTGTTTGAAGTGTTGAGAGCCAAGGGCTTTTCGGAGCGGTGGATTTCTTGGATCGCCACCATGCTTACGACGGCCAGTTCCAGAGTGATCGTAAATGGGCAAGCGGGAGATAAGTTCATGCATGCTAAAGGTTTGAGGCAAGGGGATTCGATCTCCCCCTTACTCTTTGTTATAGCCATGGATATCCTCACGCATATCATTATCAAGGCGCATGAAGCTGGAGTTATGAGTCGCATCCATGGATGTAGCCCGGTGCAGAGGCTGTCTTTATATGCCGATGATGTGGTTCTGTTCATCAAACCTACACGGCCGGACCTGGCGTTAGTCAGAGAATCTCTTACCATCTTTGGAGTTGCCTCTGGACTAAGAGTAAATTTTGCTAAATCGGCGGCAATTATGATTCGGGCAGAGCCGGAGGATGAGGATATTGTGAAATCGGCGCTGCCATGGAAGCTTGCCACCTTTCCTTGTAAGTACCTTGGATTGCAGCTAAGTATTTGGCAGTTGAAAAGATCGGAGTGGCAGCCTATGGTGGACGCGGCTCTCCACATGTTGCCAGGATGGCAAAGGGGTTTGGTGACTAGACCAGGCAGGCTGGTTCTTGTCAATCAGGCCATGAGAGCGCGGGCCACTCACCACCTTATGATTGCGGAGGCGCCAAAATGGGCTCTTGACAAAGTGGACAAAGGATGTAGGGCCTTCTTCTGGGCCGGGATTGAGGAAATCAAGGGAGGTAAATGTGTCGTATCTTAGGCGAGAGTATGTAGGCCTAAGCTCATGGGAGGGTTGGGCGTTATTGATCTTCACAAACACGGCATTGCTCTAAGGTTGAGGTGGGAATGGCTCAGACGCACGGACCCTTCCAGGCCGTGGCAAGGGCTCTGCTTGGCTGCGGACAAATCGGCTGCGCAGGCGTTCAGTAGCTTGGTGAAATGGAGAGTTGGTGCTGGGGACAAAACCTTGTTCTGGAAGGATAGATGGATCCAGGGTGCTACCATTGCAGAGGTCGCTCCATTGGTGGCAAAGCCTGTTCGTACGCAAGTGGCCAACAGGAGACGTGTTCGAGAGGCACTTGACATGCACTCATGGATGAATGATGTGGTCGGCGACTTGTATACGGAAGGCCTTACCCAATTTATAGGCCTTTGGGAGATCCTTGAGGAGGTGCATCTGGATGAGCAGTCCGAGGACAGTCCCATTTGGGCTTGGAATGCGTCGGGGACTTACACCGCATCTTCTGCATACAAGATGCTATGTGAGGGAGGAGTTAGATTCCACTCCTTTGGAGCTATTTGGAAGTGCCGGGGCCCTCTGGCGTGCAAAATCTTCATGTGGCTGGCGGTCCAATATCGGCTATGGACTTCCGACAGAAGAGTGAGGCATAACCTACAAGATCAAATTTCTCAATGCTTTCTTTGTGACCAAGAGGAGGACACGGTGGACCACATTTTGCTGCAATGTGTGTTCTCGAGGCAAGTTTGGTTCACTTGCATTCTTAGGATGGAGTTGCCCACGGAGCTTTGCCCAACATATGATTCTAGATTGGTGCATTGGTGGTCGGACACTAGAAAGCGTTTTCTTAAGCACTCTAGAAAGGGGTTTGATTCTTTTGTCATGCTCATCTGTTGGACGTTATGGAAACAAAGGAATGCGAGGGTGTTTGGTTCGGGCCAGATCAAGAGTGAACAAGACACGGTAGACACGATCTTCGACGAGCTGAGGATGTGGGCCACGGCAGGAGCTTTTGGAGAGCAATGTGTGATTGAGTAGTCGAGTAGTGTGTGGGTGGAGTGGTGGCTCGGTCAGGCTGGTTGTAGCCCAACCGGCACTTTGTAAACTCTTGTACATTTTTTTCTCCCTTCTATAAAGCTAAGGTACGCCATTGGTGTACCCTCGAAAAAGAGTTTGCAATTTTATGGTAGTACCTATTAGGCTATTACACTTACAAGTCCATGTGCTATCTACAGTGGTATTCATCCTGTCTTAAGTAAACTTTTGTGATCTTGAGTTGGAAAACCGCCAGCCTTCCTTGTACTGCTATTGGTTGTAGAGTCGGAAGCCTATAAAAACTATTGCTGCTGCATTATTATCTTATAGAAGTGCATCATTCATCCGCTGGATTTGGAAACCAACCTATCCTAGATTGAATAGTCTAAAGTAAAGTTGAAAGTCGGATGTACTCCATCCAGTTTTTTTTTTAATGGAAGAAATGTTGTGCACGAAGGGAGCCTTGCCTCAGCAGTAAAGTTGTTGCCTTGTGACCATGAGGTCACGGGTTCGAGTCCTGGAAACAGCCTCTTGCAGAAATGTAGGGAAATGCTCCCTGGACCCTGCGCAAGCGGGAGCTACATGCACCGAGCTGCCCTTTAAGAAATGTTGTGCACCCAATCTAAGAGGGCTCGATTATCTTTTAAAGTTTAGATCAGGAAGCCCAGTATGTTGTATCAATAAGAATTCGTCCATGTAGTTTTGTCCAGCTTTGCAGTTGCAGTGTCGTTGTTAGTTATAAAACTGGACTTGATAGCACCGACCTTAAATAGGAAATGTGAGGGGAACCACAATACTAACATAATAGTTTCGTTTGAAGGACCTTCTATGTTTCCGTTGACAATACTGAAGTTGCCGCCTCCATTTTCAGAAGTTTCATGAGGCAGTTTAGTTATGATATAATGGGCATTTGTGTATTTTCACACTTTGCACTAGTGCGTTACCTAAATTTCAGTCTCATAGAGTTTGTCAGACAGTTCATGACGAGTTTGCAATTTTGTACGCGTTACACGTATGAGTCCATGTGCTACTGCTATGCACAGTGGTGCATTCATCATCCTTTCTTATCTTAAGTAAACTTTTGTAAGCTGCAGTTGGAAAACTACCAGCCTATCTTATTTTGGTAGCGAGTCGAAAGCCTGATACAAGTATTGTAGAAGTGCATCACTCATCTACTGGAGTTGGAAACCAACCCGTTCCGTCCTGTCCTGTCCTAGATTAAATAGTGCAAGTAGAGCTGAAAGTCTGATGTACTCCACCAAGATTTTTCTAATGGAAGAAATGCTGTGCGCCCAATCTAAAACAACTCGATCGGGTACCATTACCATTCTGGCCGAACTCAAATTGTTGGCACTAAGATAGGTTGGTTCGTCCATGTAATTGATCATCACATCACATCTTATCTTACTAGAAGAAGTTGCTACATCTGTTCCTAAATATAAGTCATTTTTGCAGTTTATGTAAATTGAACTGCAAAAACGTCTTATATTAAGGATATTCAGGAACAGAGGGTGTACTAATTATACGCATCAAGTGTAGCTTTATCGTCTCATCTGATTTAGTACTATGTGAATTCACTTGGTTTTTTAACAGACATGGTTCTCTCGATCTAAGCCTAGGGCATTTGCTTCACCTGGCTCTGCACAACAGTGGTTCTTTCCATCTGACCTGAGATCTGACCATACTTGTGGAATCTGCAGGACGTTGATCGCACCACGTACTACTTCAAGAAGCAGGACGGCGTAACCTTTGTGATCGAGGAGTGAGGCGCCGCACGTCACGACCTTAGTTACAAAAACCCAGCGCACCGTGTGCCTCGCGGACGCTCTTCGTGGCCATGCCCCAGCGAGCGAGCGGCAGCCGGCCGCGGCGTGCACATGGGCACGGAGGCCGGCGTGAATGCGCGACCGCCGCCGGGCCAGGGCCCTCCCGGCGCGCGACACATGGCACGCTCCGACGCGTCCACCCCGACGGTGGGTGCAGGCCCCGTCGGCATCCACGTCTGCCCGTCCGGCCGCCGTAGCGATAGTTGGCGTGCCCGCAATGGTCAGAGCAGAGGCAAAGCACCCATGCCGATTATCCGGCGCTCCCGATTAATTAGCAAGGACTTTATATAAGCGCACGGCGCGAGGTGGCGAGACGGGGGGCGCCGGACGACAAAGTACTACTAGTACTACTACTCCCTGTCCGTCTGCTCGACCCGATCAGCTCAGCAAGCAACCGCTCTTTTTAGCCCCCACTCTCCCCACGACTCCCTCGACAAAGTGGAACGCTCCCCGACTCCGACCAAGAGCTCGAGCGCCGATCATCGTCCGTCCATGGTGAGGTCCAACTCCCTCGACAGCTGCTACTCCTCCATCCAGGACGTCACCTACAGGTACCTTCCACTTCCATCCATGCCTCCACTTCTCCACCGGCGAGACGGTTCTTGCGTCAATGATTGGCGATTCATAGCTCGATTTTCTTTCATTTGCTGCTGATGGCAGCTGCGGGTACTGCGGCTACGCGCTGAACCTGAGCTCGGCGGCGCGGAACACGGCGGGCATCGGCTCCAAGTACGGCAAGAATATCAGGAAGAAGGGCGTCGTCGCCTTCGTCGCCGTCGACGAGACGCGCTTCACGCAGGCCGACGAGGTCACCTGCGCGCCCCGCCTCTGCCCCTGGACCTGGCGCCTCTTCAGGCGGAGGTCGCGCCTGCTCTGCGGCAAGTGCGGCGGCCGCATCGGCGCCGCCTACGAGGTCGACGAGGACGAGGACCCCGCCGGCCTGTCCGCGTGCGGCGGCTCGGACGACGACGACGACCTGCGGACGAGCCCGGGCGACGATAGCGGCGGCGTCGGCGCGTCGAGGCGCAGGAACTACCTCATCAGGATCGGCGCGCTGCAGCCCTCGACGGACGATCCCCCTCCTGCTGACCCCTTCTCTCTATGATATGATATGACACACCGTTGCTGAATTTTGTTCCTTTGTTCATATTGGAAGACAGACCCCAGAGTTTGATGTGTGTAAGTTGATCCTACTATAGTTTTTGTGTCCTGGTAATGTAGTGAGCCATGGTTGCAATTTTGAGCCACCTAGTATTTCTCAATGGCTTAATTCTAGCTTTCTGTGTGGGTTTTTGCTCTCTTGATATCTAAATTATGGATTCCGTTTTGATTATCCACAGATAAATATATTTCAGTTTGTCATCACTGATTCCATAAGCTGGCTGACAAGATAAATTCATGTGATGAACCATTATTATGTTTATTATAAATATCAGTTCTTGTATGCAGTCAACTCGCTGGGAATTCGGAATTGGAGCACAACATTAAGGTTTGCAGTCAAGGCTCCAGGTCAGTCCATGCAACCAGTACCCCAGTTAATCAGTTGGATTCAATGGGACTAGAAACACCATTTTTCTGTTCCAAAAAATTGGATATGCAAAATGCCCGTTATTTCCTTTCTGTGCAATGAGTGAATCTGGAAATTGTACTTCTCAAATAATCACTATATCATATACAAGGAGCTCTTTTAGCTGCAGTAGTACAAATGTCAGTTTCCCCTATCTGCTAAGATACATACATTTTCAATAGAGATAACTGAATAAAATGTTGTAATGATCAAATCAAACAAAAAAAAAAGAATGTGAAAACGGTGAATATGATTTTCGTAGTTTACACTATCATTTTGCTTCAAGTGGCTATTGAGTTGGCATCGGTGTGTCCTTCAAGAAGTGTCTGAATAGTATTAATGCTTGCCGAGGCCGGTGCAGAGGTACCTCATGCCCTGCACCTGCCACGGTGACGAGGGTTAGTCCTTTGTAAACCTGACTCCAACCTCCAACCTGCAAAATAGTTAAAGCATTTGATGTAAGATTGAAACGGTTCATTCTCGGACAGAATTTTCTCAGTTTAGTGAGTAACTATTTTGGCGAACCCACCTTCCCATGGTCATACCAAGGGTACCAATTCATCAGTGTTGGTAGCTTGAGAGCGCTTATCGAATATCTCGTTGCGGTTACAGGAACAACAGCATCTGTATCCCCACTGCGTAAAGGTAAAATGCATGGTCACTTATTATCCATGAGGACTAGATAATACAACTAGACTATTTTGCAGCAAACCAGAAATCATTTCACAATGTGGGAATATGGAGTTCTATTCCTGTTCATTCCCTTTAGGGGCAATAGTCTAAATGTTTGGAGAAGATCTCCATTTATAGACAAGCCAATATCGATATAATGTGGTACTTTAGATACTGCTGTTAGTCAATACCAAACACATGAAGATGATTCCGTAACTCAGAAACAAGATGGACTTCAGGCTAAACTGAAAAAAACTTATACTAGACATCTACAAGCAAACTCGTAAATGGCTTGGTCATGCGGAATATAAGAAATCTGAAACAAGCAAGTGCTGGGCCTTCTGGCACTTACCTGAATACCCATATCTTGATACCAGCTGCAATTAACTCATGGTAGATAGGAAGCATAGATCTGGGGGAATCCGCCCAATACGATCCAACAATATCACTGCAATAAATAGCCAAATGAGTATATATATGCTTAAGAAAGGAACAGAACTTTAAGGTGTATTTTCAGATAAAATGATTTAAACCTGCAAGTTTTCCAAGGGTATTTAATTCCAGTTGTGTTAGCGTGTAACGCCGCCTGCACTTCTGGCAGATTGTAGTATATATTTGAATATCTTTCGGTGCAAGGATCATAAGCTCTGGACAACCAAGGCTGTAAAAAGTATCATCAGCTTAAATATATAGACGAACAATACAATCAAAGAATATCTAGTTCTACGACATACATCTATTCAATCAAGTGAAAATAACAATCCTAGGTAGATAAATAAGAATCAGAAATCGAACAAATAGTTCTAAGGCAATGCAAATTACTGTAGCAAATTGAATAAACATCACGTTTCATGCCAACATTCATGTATGTCTGATCTAAAATACTTGGTACCACTATCGAAATTCAAGCAGTGTTAAATGCCACAGTTGCATGGAAGTGCATGCACTCTGTACAACACACAAAAAGGAACCTTCTAAAAAACGCAAAAACGCCTGATCGAACGTAATCGCCAAAATATAAGTTTCAATAGACAATTTATTCATTGCACCCGTTACTTCAGTTTGTCAGACATTTGGTTTCCATTTATTGGACCAATTGTACCCTCCTTGGCAGAGAACTACACCGAGCTGAACTGCATTGCTCCTTATTCAGTCTAAAATGGCGGCCAACCTATTGGGCTGATATTAAATCAATTCAGTTCGTCTACCCTGCTTAACAACTACCCTCTTGGGCTGTTGTTTAACCATCATTTCGTTATTGACATTGCACTGCTGCCTGCTCATAGAATCCACACTCCAATGTACTTTTGATGTAAGAACTGGAATTTTAACGAGTTGCAAAATGATCAGTTATAAAAGTTCGGAAGCAAAACACTTACATAGCGTCCCCCCAGGCCAAGTTTGAGAGAGGCTGAGCTATTGCAGGGCTTTGTGTACAGGCTATAAGGGTCGATGTTGCCTTCTTCGGAACTAGCCAGGTTCAGGTTCTTGACACATTCAGGGGAAGGGTGCTCTGATGAATCAAACAAGCATGTCTTCTTCAAGTTGTGGTAAGTGCTGTCAGAGATCAGGCCATGACTCCACCAGTATTCAAATGTGCCAAGATAGTCATTGTAGTCGTCGGTAACCGCATTCCCCACCTTAATTTTTAGGAATAGTAAGCTTCCAGAAACTAGCTTGTACTCCCTCCATCCCAAAATATATGTTTGATTTAGTACAACTTTGTTCTAAAGATGTACTAAATCAAAGACACTTATTTTGGGACGGAGGGAGTATATTGGAAAATAGTCCATAAAACATGAATTTCAAATATTTACCAGGAATCCTTTGAGGTTAATTGTTGGATTCTGAGTGCCATTGTTCTTTTCGTATATGAGCTTGGCTAGCTGGGGAACATAATGGCCTGAAAATGTGAAATAACCAGTCTTCCATTAAATAAAGAATCTTAACAGAGAATTCAAATTTGGAAGATGAGATTTTCCAAAAAATTCCTGCCAGAATTGAACCATTTCCTGTTGAATTCTTGCGAAATTCCTGCATTACAAACAGGCCTTACAAAATAGTACATTACCTGCATAGCTCTCTCCAGCAATGTAGAACTCCCTGTACTTGTACTGTGGGAATCTCTCGAGCCAGTTCACCAGAAAAGCGTAGGCATCCAGTGCTACAAGACAAAACAAAAAAAGAGGCAAAGGACAGGAAGTTGGCATCAAAACTCCGAAAGAATCAGTGTCACCGGAAAGCTCGCACGAAAATGGCCATGGACCAGCCATCGGTTACCTGTCTTGGCGTCTCCGGCGGTGTACAGATCCATCGACGTGTTGGAGTAGGAGAAGCCCACGCCGGCCGGCGACTCCAAGAAGAGCAAATTGGCCGCTGCAGCCACAAGCAAGAACGCACGCACCCTGAGTGAAAATCGCCGGCGACATTGGACCAATGCGGCGTGCTAATAATTGGAGCTCAAGCTGAAGAAGAAGAAGAAGATTACGCACCCTTGTTCCAGGAATTCTTGTTGTGGTAGAGCGTCTTCCCGTCGGGCCGGATACGGAAGGGGCCGACCTCCTCGGAGGCGCCGTAGCCGACGGAGGAGCAGCCAGGCCCGCCGTTGAGCCAGAGGACGAGCGGCGCGATGGGCCCGGCCGCCGGCGCCGCCTCCACGAGCCAGTAGAAGAGCGCGCGGCCGCGGGCCGGGTTGACCGTGACGTAGCCCGAGTACTGCGAGAAGTCCACGTTGGGCGGCTGCCCCGGGAGCTCCCGGATCCGGTCGCCCTCCTGGTCGGCCGGGGCGGCGGCGGACGGCAATGACACTGACGCTGCCGCTAGCAGCGCCAGCAGAGCCGCCGCGAGCCCGCGAGCCATCGGGGGCCGGACAGAGCAGGCTCCAATGGCTGGAGCTGGACTGTGGCACACCGGGTGGTGGTGGTGGAGTGGAAGAGGCGGGCAGTGGAGCTGAGCTTGCTTGCACTTGCACAGTACGCAAACACTCGTGCCGCGACTGCTGCCACCACCACTGCTGCGGCTGCTGACAGGAGCTATAAGATACTCGGGGGTGCCGGGCGGGTTGCTTGCATGGATTTCAGCAGCAGCAGGGGATTTGGTTTTCGATCCTTACGCCATGACAGCTAGCTCAGCTCAGAGGGTCCTCGGCCGGGCTGGGTCCCCGTCGATGGAAGCACTAAAGAAATAATGGGGAGGAGGACAGCCGATCTCGTCACATTCCTTCTCATTCGCTCTGACCAGCGCGCCCGCCCCCACGGTGGGTACAGGGAAGCAACAAGCAAGTACAGGAGGCGCAAAATGTGCGGAGATTTTCCCCTTGGCGACGCGATGATTGACCTGCGGCGGGGGGCAGTACAGCTCAGGGTGGCGGAGGAGGGAAAAGGGAGGATCGGATCGTGTACTTGGCTGGGCTGGGCTGGGTCACAGACTTGCAAGACTACATTAGGCGCGGGTGCTACAGATCGGCTGGCTGGCTGGCTGGCACCGCGGTATCTGCTCGGGGTGCCGTGTCGGCAGCAGCGCAATAGTATAGTGAGTGGCGGCGAGCGTGGGTGTGTGAATGAAACGGGGGTGGGAGGAAGAAGATGAGGCGGGGGCACATGGGGCTGGAGCCTGGGACGGAAACGTGGGGTGGTGGCGAGAGTAGACAGGCAGTGGCGGGAGCTAGCGGGGCAGCGCCAAAATAATAATTCGCGGCGCCCATCTGCCCGCTGTGCGCCGCGGCAGCTAGCGGCGTCCCGTCCTGTGGAGGAAAGGGGCGGCCGAACCACCGCCGTGAGTGACCTGTGCTGGCTAGCTATGGTTCCCGACATGCACGGGACATGGCGAGCATGAGGCCCGCTGGAGTGGGTAAACTGGCTGACGAC